TTCCAGAATGGTTCCATTCCAAGAGTAACATAGACATGTATAGAAAGAGAGAGTGAGTGACGTTTGAACTTTCTCATATATTTCATACTATGTTTAAGTTTGTTGAGACAACCAAAACATAGCAAAACAATTTTCAACAAAAAAAAAATTGCTAAAAATACTCGAACAATTTTTTGTCATTTCAAAAAGAACCCATTGAATTGTGACAACCAATTTTTTTTTTGAAATGCAAAAGGAAACATTTTTTTTTTTGTTGTTTCTTCTCAAATTTTTTTTTCCACTTTCCTATAATAGAAATATTCTAAAACTAAGCCATGGTCGGAAGTAAATTTTAATTTTTTTAGGAACTTGTATAGTTTTTTTCCCTCTATAACGACTAATGAATATTTGGGACAAATCCATTTATTTTTTTGTCCGACTTTAAATATCCAGATTAAAAATTTGAATCAGATCATGTTCACTTTTTTTGTTCAGTTTTTTGATTGATATTTTGTATTTATTTTGTTACAATGACTAGCGTTTAATATTGTGTTTTTTGTTAAAAATTTTTTAATACTCGTAAGTATGACATATTAAAAGCCAAATTCATTGTTGTAGCCTAAAGAAAGTAAAATTTATTTATGAATTATGATATTAGAAACATATCAAAGGATTCTTTGAGCAGTTTATGTTAAACGATTTAGAATAACATCATTTGAATTGAAACAGAATTTAAAATTGCAAAAAACCGAATAGTAAATTCTTTTCATGTGTTTAGTTTTTAAATTTTTAAGAATAGAACAGAAAAAAATGCAAATCTATTTTTATTTTTCAGTTGAACTGATAAATCAATTTCCACCATTTACATAATTTAAAATTTTATCTAATTGTTGACCATGTGATAACTACGTTTCATTTAATGTATTCGAATTTTAAGCCACTTTTTCAACATTTTCGATTGTGGTATAACCAATTATACGTTCAATATTCTTTTGTAAATGTGTAGTCAATGTCAGATCGTCGACATACATATACAAGGGATTTCACGTCCACATACAAAAATTCAGGTGCTGATAAATAGAATGAAAAATTTCTCATGGAACGTTGAATTATTACATTAATTATATAGCTCAATAATTGACCCTTGTTCGGGCGCCACTTTTATTTTTACCAGCATAAGAACGCTGCCAAATTTATTCAAACGAAAATTTTGGTTTTTTTCCTCATAATAAAGTATATTATTGGTAAAGTAACCTTTTTACACAAATTAAGTTAAATTAGCTTTTGAGCTAATCAGCTCTTTTGTTCAAGATGGAATACATATATTTTTGTTTTAAACATTTCTTCAATTGAAAACTAAATGCAATTCGCTTATATTATTACACTCGCTACAAGTACATGTAGATTAGCTTTACCCTATTGAATACATTCGCAAAAGTACTATTCGATAATAATATAGAAATTACCGTCACAGTTCTAAAGTTTCATCTCAAATTACTATTTTATTTTTTTTTTTTTCATCCTTCATATTATGTTAGCCAATAAAATGTAAATAATTCAATTTGTTATTTTTTATTAAATATTTTATTTTATTTTTTCTTATTTGTTTTTAAATTTCTCTAGAAGTAAGCACTTTTTTTGTTTATAATTTAAATATCACTTTCCTTATTCCCATCACGACTTAAACATTTTTGTATAATACTCAAAAAAAAAATCTACAAATTCGGTACTTCACCGAATTAAATAGTGAGTAAACAGAAAAAAATAAAATAGATGAAAAAATTTAGATATTTCCAAAAAGTTTTGATTGTATAGATTTTTAACATGGATAACTGTTATACAAATATTGAAAACAATTTCTATTTTACCATATAGCCAATCATAAATAAAATCAGAATATAAGATAAAAGATAATATAGAAAAGTGAACAACAACAACAACTATAACAATAACAGTAATAATAATAGTTAAAATGTATAAAGTATAAATTACTTTTGTTTTTTTTCTATTCATCTCTTTTCATCTCAATTGTGTACACATATTCATTGTCAATAATATTTTTTGTTAATAATACAATAGAGTTAAATAAAAGTGAAATAAAAATGTAATGACAACGACATGGGAATTTATAAGTTTACTATTGTACGAGTATAACAAAAAAAATCTTAAAATCTCTTATAATCACTTAAACCCTACACACTATTAGATATCTATCTACTATATTTACATATCTACCCACAATACAAGAGTTAAGATTATGTTTGTTTTTTTGGTTTGAGTCTGAGAAAAAATATAAAACTATTAAAATATTAAATAGAAAAAAAATAACAATAATATGTAATAGGAACTGTGAGCTCGATTTCATTATTTTTAAAGTAATTCGATATTTTATTAAGACTTTTGTGACATTAATCAGAAATATGTATGTAAATCATTATGCATATTGTATAAAACTATTTACAACATAGCAATATATACTCAACATTGCAAAATTCTATAATATTACGTATTAGGAAATAGCATTGTATAAATTTATTCTTTCTTTTATATGATATTGCAAAAAAATTACTGGCATTGTTAAGTTTATTTTGTTATGTAAGAAATATATATAGTGAGAATTTAAAGACGCACCATCGTATAATTATGATGTGCAAGTATTGTGAGCACTCATCTATATTAAAGCAATTATCATTTCTAATTGCAATAGTATTGTGCATACATAGTTTATGTTACTTAGTTTTAATCATCAACATTTAATATTATTTATTATGTATATAGAGTTGTATTATATACTCGTACTATATGGATGTGTGGTATGGTGGGAATTTAAAAATTGTCTCAGACTTGTCATGGTCTGATCTTGAAAATAATGCTTATAATGTGAGCAATGTGCATGCAAAAACAAATTATAGAATAAGAATTAAAGAAAATTGTAAATCTTTTAAAGAAATCCCACAAATGCTGCATACAAACAACATTTGTTTACAACATAATATTGTATAGTTGTCAAATAAGTACACGTCTTAATTAAGTAATTAAGTTTAAACGCAAAATGAATATAATTTTAAATAATTTATAAATTTAAAATTTATGTACAGGTACCTAAAATTTTAGGTTGAACAATTTTAAAAGAAATGTTTAAGAAAGTTCTAGGAAATTTTTAAAAGAACTCGATAGCTCTTTGTTTTATTAAAACTTCCAATTCTTCATTTAGTTTTATGTATTGTCTTGCAAAATGTGACCTATATACCCTACTGAGTTCGTACCTAGGTTACGGATAAAGTTATGAAAAGTTGAAATGTACAATTGAATTTTAAAAATTAATTTTGAACTTAATTTACACTCGAAATTAGGAAATCACTGATTTTCTAGTGTTTTTTTTTTTTAACATTTAAATTGAAATTCACATAATTTGCTCACACTGATCCTAATTTTACGGCGACATCTTTATTTTCCGTTATGTATGTTCGTACATATGTTCGATCTCAATGGTATTCAGTTTTTATTTAAAACACACTTAAATTGGCTAATTAAATATGTTTTTTCCCAAATCCTACAATTCGTACAAACACAATGGGCACATAACATAAGTACATCCATTTAAGTATACTTAATATACTTCACTCTTTAATGCTCTAATACCTTTTCTTGTGCATGCAAATGAAATAAAAGTGTAAGTGTGTACATATATTATTTAACAAGGGTGAAAATCACAATAAACTACCATAAAAATTATATTTGTACAACTATTCAAATGTCATAATCATAAAATTTCACTATTTAATTATGTAAAATATTGCAATAATACAAAAGAGCAAAAGAAAAAAAAATATGCTTTTGTCCTTGTCTTCTCCAACATAAACTCGACTCGATTCTGATTCATTTGAAAACAATAAATCTCACAATTAAATAACATTTTTTTCTTATATCTCTTATTATTATTGTTGTGACTCTCTTTGTTATTGTGATCTTCATTATGTCAAAAACGTATTTGTCAAATAATAAAATCGCTTAAAAAATCATAATCTTTTTATATAGAAAAAATAATCATACAAAAGACGAACATTTTCTATTGTTGATCTATTTTCTATATGTTTTCATAATTCAAGAGAAATGAAAAAAAAAATGAAAGAAAAATAAGAAAAACTAAAAGTGAATGAACATGAAAAGAAATCATCAATCAACTATTAATCATGTCATAAGCGTTTGTATAGTTTTTTAAGTGCATTCTTGGAACTAGACAAAAAAAAATAGGGAAAACTTTCTATTCGATTCAATATCAGAATGGCTGTCATAATTTTTGGCGGGCATTTTGTTCATAAGGCTTGAGATGGATGTTAATGAAAAAAATACATAAGAAAGCTTATGAATATCGAAGAAATCAAAATATTGATGTTACATTTGGTTTAAACCTATAAGTTAATTCTGCATTACAACTGAAATATTGTGGTTTATTCTGGGTATCGAGTCACTAAATGATTCGTAAATATTTTGATTATTGTAAACACAAACCAATTTATGCAAATGATTCTTGTATATAATAAAGCTTTTGAAACTCTGATAATAAATGTCACTATCATAATACTGACTTGCTACTCAGAATAAGCTCCATTGATAAACATTTTAAAATAAGATATCAAGACTTAAAACTGAACTTAAGACTGCCTTCACAAAATTAAATCCCAGATATTGATAAATCTTTACAGAATCTATTTATGACATCTATTTGACAACTAAATATTGATTGAAATGTCTGAACTGAAACATTTTATTATCTTCAAAATTCGAATTTTTCTACATGACAACAAAGTTTTAGAACTGAAGTTCAGAGTTTGAATCCAAATTGTTCTAATATTTATTTTTAAGGAATTGTGCTCTTTATAAGCCTTTCGTTCAAAACTGCTTTTTTTTTAAATATTTACAAATGTCATTCATACATTGACTTTTTTTCTTTCAACTTCTATTGATATGAAATTTTATTTTAATATTTTTTTTATATTTTTTTTTTTTCGTATTTGCAGACATGCGGTTGTGCATTTCTTGGCGCTGGTGTTTGGTTACGATTAGCATATCGTGGTTATGCTACACTTTTACCAGATCATGATGGTTTAAGTGCTGATTCATTATTTATTGGTATTGGTGTATTAAGTTTTGTAGTATCATTCTTTGGTTGTTGCGGAGCATGGTTCCAATCACGATGCCTATTAATAACGGTAAATATTATACAATAATAGTGGAAAGGTATACCTACGTGCACGTATAAAAAAATGATATTTATGTATGTATAAGAAGAAAAATAGTTTTCAATAGTCAATAATAATTGTACAATGAAATTAAAGAAACACTGAAATGCAATGAATACAAATTTCCTGAGAAAGAGAAAATCCAATGAAAACAATATTACTATCGATTTTAAGTTCATTCCCAAGAAATATATTATTTATGAATTATAAATGAAATAAATTATAAGAAATCTATGGCCGTCTACCTAAATGAAAATTTAGGTAGTTTGTTTTGGGTAGATGCCTAATAATAGGCTTTTTTTAATAACCTTGAGTTGTGTGCGAAATAAAGTCAGTAATAATACATATGCAAAGGGTAATATTAAGCGAATTAACACATTTTCGACTTACAAAAACTTAATTTCGCTTTATTTTAGCCTGAATTTATGCAAAGCATAAATCTTTTTATCGGAAATTTAATATTTTCCTAAAAATAATTTACGAAAATAAAAATGTGCTGAAATAAATTTCTACTTTTATGAGCAAAATCTCGTATTGTTCATTAGATCACTTACTTTATATTTGAACCATGAAAGTTAAAATTTTTAATAAAAAAAAATGACTTTTTCTTTATTTTAAAAACTTTTTTTTTGAAACATTAAAAATAACGTCTGCTTTTTCTCTTTTCAGTATTTCATCTTGATCGTTTTATTATTCTTAAGTGAATTTTTGATTGGATCAATAGCCTTCTTATTTAGAGGTGGACTTGGTCGAACATTAGCAAATGAATTGAGATTCGGTATTGAAAAACATTATAATGCAACAGATCGTGGTGGATTAGCAGCGCCATCAGTGGCAGCAATTTGGGATAATGTTCAACAATCTGTAAGTGTTGTCGTTGTTTGTTGCTTTTGAAAGGGATAAGAAGTAGTGTTTTCGGCTGTTGTTTCCGTTAGAATATTTTTTTTTTTTTTTGAAACTTTAAAAATAATGTTTTTTGGATTTTTTTTTCTTTTTCTTTCGATTTACAATTTTAGATGGAATGTTGCGGTGTAACTTCATATGAAGATTGGTATGATATTGCTGCTTGGAGTGGTAAAAGATGGGTACCAGATTCATGTTGTAAAAAAATTTATCAACAAAGAGCACTACTTGTTGAAGGTTCAGGTGATGGAAAAGGATCGGTAGAATGTGGAAAGTAAGTACTATTAGAGTTTATTTGCGGTAACTTAATAAAATTTTCTATTAAAATTTGATTTTTTTTTGCAATTTTAGATCCGAAAATCCATCGCTATGGTTCGATAAAGGTTGTGCTCATTCATTACAAATATGGTTCGCTCAACGTTTACATGTTATCGGAAGTATTGGTTTAGTGATAGCATTTTTACAATTATTTGGTTTAATAACATCAATGCTATTATTTTGTACGGTGAAACATAAAAGAGAATCACAAACATATAAATCATATTCACCATCAATTGATCCGACAAGAACGAGCAGTTGGGATGATTAACATACGAGTACACATTTTTAAATATTTAAATGTATTTAAAAAAACAAAAAACAAAAATAATATTTTATTATTTCATAAAAACAAAAAAATCTATTTAGAATCTCCTTTTTTTTTCTCATTTTGTAAAAACACAAAAAACCAAACCAAAAAATACTTTAAAATAAAAAATACAGGAAAAAAAATTTATTTTCAAATGTAATGAATTTCTATTTTTAATTAACTATGATAAAAATCTCAATTCACAAAAAATATCTAACTAGTTAAAGGCTATGTATTTTAAAAATTAGTGAGAATAGCTGAAAGTGTTTACAAATAAATTTTTAATTCTATAGTAGAACTTGATATTTCCATATTAAAATTTTAACAATTTTTGCGTTAAATAATTAAATATTTAATTCCGATTATTATGAATAATTAGACGTCGCGTTATGCAAAAAATGTACAATATCCAAGAAATAAAAAATAATAGTCACAATATTTCCGGCATTTCCAAAAAAAATCACCAAAATGAATTAAAATCGAATTCAAATCGATTAAATTAATTTTTCTCTCTCTCTCTCTCGGTAACACTCTTTTTTGTTGTCTATTTTAATTTCATAAAACTTCGTAGAATTTTGAATGGCGCTATAATCATTTTTTTGTCAACAAAAATGAAAATTTTTATTTTTTTTTTTAATTATTTCTCATTTCAATTGTTTACTCTACTATAATATATATAATTAATTGAATTATAATATTAAGATATAATCGCTTTTTTTTTTAAATAATAATTATTTTAATTAAGAATACAAAAATTAAATTATAATATAAATATTTTTGTTTTTTTGCTATTTTTCATTAATTTTTAAGAAACTATATTTATGCATTAAAAGAAAATATCTGTGTATAGATGGAAGAGTATAGTAGAAAGAGTACACAATATAATGGAATGTGCCAAAAAGAGAATATTAAAAAATTAAATTAATATTAAATTTATTATTTTGATTTTTAACTTATTAATGTAATAAAATAAATTTAAAGAAAAAATAAATAATTATTAAATAAAATGTAATTTTTTAAAATATTAATATTAATTTAATTGAAAAATAATTAGAAAAAAAATTATATTTAATTTATAATTATTAAAAAATAAAAGAAGATAAGAAAATTAAGTAAAAAATTATATTAAAAAATTATTAATAAATTTTTAAAAAATTCAATAAGCTTTAGATAATTTAAAGATATTAAATATTATTAAAAAAAAATATTATTATTTTTAATTTTATTGTCATTATTTAAAAAATTTATATATACATATATTATATAAGTTTTTATTATTAATATTAAGATATAAAAGAAAAGAAATTCAGAAAAAGTATTTTCATTAAATGAATAAAATTATAAAAATTATTCAAAAGACTATTAAGGTAGAAACAAAGTATAACAAAGAACTTCAGAAAATGTTGTATATATGCATATATGAAAAGAAAATATGAATTATTAAAAATTTTTATGTAAATGTTTCGATTAATTTTATAAATTTTATTAGAAATTTTATTACTTAATTTTCATTTAATATTTTACAATCAAATTGAATTTAATAAATTTCTGAAAGTAGATCACGGCCTAATTTTAAATTTAGAATTAGATTTAATGAAGCTATTTATTAGATGGCCTAATTATAAATTTATTATTTAAAAGAACTTGCTAACAAAAATGAATATTAATTTTATTTTAATTAATTTTTTCCTGAATTTTTATTTACATATTGGTTATAGTTGAAGTTTTTTAGTCTTATATATACATAAAATACTGCCAAAGATCATATATTGAAAATAACTAAACAAATATTCTAAAATAAATTAATTAAATTTTCTAAAGAAAATCTTACAAATTTGGCATAACTTCTTAATTTTTATAACACAAAAATTTTATTATCACTGCCTATAATAATAATAATTGTAGTATAAGTGATTATTCAAGAACATTCCCTTTAGGATATTCAGGAAGATCATTTGTTACAGATTATTATATCTTTCTCTTAGATTTCAAATTAAAATTGCATAAAATTTATTTAATATTGAAAATTAATCGAAACTTTTTTTTATTTTATATATTTGTATAACAGTTAATATATTACAATCATGAGTTAATTTTCAAAATAGACAAAGAAATATAATTAAAATTTTTATATTAATATTATATTTTTTAAATTTATTTTTATGTTTTAATGCATTAAATTAAGCGCAATTTCAATTTTAGATAAATTAAAGATAATAAGGCAATAAAATTGCTATTATAAAATACAAAACTGCCTAATAATTTTATTAAATTCTTTAAAAACATTTATTTTTGAATTTTTGAAAAATATAGCAAAACAAAAAATGATATTTTTTTAATTAATCACAAATTTTTTTTTGTTTGTTTTTAATTTTATAATCTCGAATAGCCTTTATTATAATTAATAATTTTTATTTTATTTTTCTCAAATGTGTAGCCCAATTTTAAAATATTATACATATAGATTTTTATTAAAAGAAAAAAATAAATAAATAAATAAAATATTAATAATGTGATGTAAAAAAAAAGCAAATCCAACAAAATATAAAATATTTAATTATTATTATAATAAATTATTATTATGATTATTATCAACTATTATTATATAATAATATTATAATAAAAATAAATTTTAATTTATAAGAATTTTAAAAATATCAAGAACTCTTTAAAAAAAGAAAACAAAAAAAAAAAACTAAACGAAAATCGAAAATAATTTTTACTGTGTTTTATTTAAAGAAAAAAATCATAACTTCCTATGTCCCTACAATAAGCACAATATTAAACGGATCGAGTCATCGAGCAAGCCTAAACGAATACGGCCTCATTTTGTACGATGAATACATTCTACAGAAAAGCGCATATAATTGGAATTCAAAAAGACTATGTGCTTTGAAAAAGTATAAGAATACGTTCCTTAATTCTCTAAAATCGCATAAAACTTAAAACAATGTGTTATAATTAACTTAAAAGCAGAATAATTGTTCTTAATTCATTTTATATTATTGAACAGAAATAAAAATGTACTGCATATTACTGGAACTTTAAATCGGTATAATTTAAGATAGTCAGTTTCAAAACAATTCCAATTCATATCTTTCAATGAGAAATTCAATATGTAATATAATAGCATTCAGGATTGCAAAAGTTCACTTTAAATATATTTCACTGACATTTGGATGTAAAGAACTGAGATAGATGTAGCTGTTCTTTGCGTTCCTAAAAAGTGTACACGTCAATGAAACCATTTGGGTGAGCTTTGAGTGTTTCACGATTGTTAAAGACTTTCTTTACGCCTATATGTACGGTTGTCCAAAAAATTTTCGGATAAAATATAAATTAGATAACTTCAAAATCACATAAAAATAACCTCCATAAAAACAAACCTTACTCTATATTTCCAAACTTTACTTTAACAATATTTTGAATATGTATTTTAAAAATTTGAATTTACAACAAATTGCACTTGATTAAACTCTGAATTTTATTTATTAAATTTTTAAATGCCCTAAAATTAATGATTTTTTTAACTTTTTAAATGAAACCAAAAATAACTTACTAATTTCTTTTATACAAATGCCACAATTGCATCAACATTTTGGTTTTTAATTATCCAAATTTAAATCCAAAATTAAAATCTTATTCTTTTTAATAAAAATACTTGTAATGTGTAACTTAAAGAGACAAAAAAATTTTTATATCAATTTCCATTTAAAAATTAGCAATTCTACACATTTGAATACTAGAGCTATACTGAATTGAAATTTCATTTGCAATTATTAATTATCCCATACCTATTGTGAATATTAAATGTCATTTTAATTCTTCTTTCACCCAAATAGTGTTAGGACAGAATGTAAAAAATTTTACATCATAAAAAATAATTTAACAATTTTTTTATTTAAAAAAAAAAAATGTTTTTGTTTTCTTAATAAAACTATAAAACAAATTTATGAAAAAATAAAAGCAAATTTTTACTTAAGTTAAAATGATTAAAATAAATAAAAAGAAAACATACTCTAACAAAACTATTGAAAAATATTTACAAAATGTTAAATTCAGTTCTTTGAAATTTCACGCCAGTCCAACTATTTTCCCGCCAATGAGATCGAGTTTTTCATTTAAACTTTTTGAAAATGATTTTATTACTGATCCTGGAGCCTAAAAAGAGAAAAAAAAAATTTATTTAAATTAAATTTGTTTTTGTTACATCTATGCAATTTTTTTTAGAACAATAAATGAATTTTAATTGCTAACGATAGCATAACATGTTGGTCATGCATGTTTGTTTACATTATTTGCAATCGAATCTGTAATAATACATAATTATGCCATCTGCATAGCGAAACAAACCTCAAATCAATCCTCAGTTAGTATGATTGAAATTGTGCATTTGGAATATTTCACATTTCTTTAAAATCAAATAACTAAATCAAACGGAAAGTTTACAAAAAAAAGGTAATCAAAAACTGGTAAGCTATACAGTTTATACTGTTCTAGTTAAAAGTATGTATTCTGTATTAGGAGTGTTATGTGCAGTAGATTTGTGTTTGATATATTGTCAAAAGGTTTGAAGCATCATTTAACAATCTATTAACTTTCTCAATATATAATTTTGACATTTTAACTTTACATTACGCATGAGAGAGGTATGTATCGCATTAAAATTTTTTTGCTGTTTTCATATAACACGTATAATGTCAATATTGACGTATTTAAAATGTTTTCATGCAATTAATAAAAAAGGCATATAAAACGTATTTGCTATAAAAACGAACTCACCAACATTTCTTAAAAGGATTATTAAAAGAAATGTAAAACTTACAGCAATTAATTTATTCATAAAATTTGAAAATGCTTCATAACCATATACAATTGAGCGTGCGACACCATCGAACATATCACCTTTATTACCGTATTTTTCTTCTTCAGTAATTGTGTCAACAATCGGAACAGCCTAAAATCAAAATTTATGTTATTATTCAATGAAATTTTTATGAAAAAAATAAAATTTATATAATTATCGAAGTTTTAAAGAAATGACTAAAACTTTCAAGTCTTACATCAATAAAACTGGTTGCCTTATGTTGTGTATTGTCATAAAGACTAAGTATTCTTGATGGAAAAGCTTCATCTTCTAATTTAGCATTTTCTCTTGATTTTTCAGGTTCTACCAAAAGATTTACCTGTATAATTTAAATAAATCACCATTAATATATTTTCAAAACAAAAAATTTTTAATTTACAGTAAAATTTTTAGCTGATTTTGCTGTATTTACGATATCATTTGCAGTATCACCACCTAATGGGAAACCAATAATACCGCCAAAATTCAGAATCACCAAATAAAAAGTGAATATTAATAATTTCATAGTTTTGCTTTCACTAAATTAAATTTAAGGCTTTTTATGTTATAAATTTAGATAAAATTAATTTATTCGATCAGTTTTAAAAAAAATTTTAAATCAACCATAAAGTTATTCCAAAAATATTAAAAAAAAAGTTTTTTTTTTTTAATTTTCTTTCTTTATTTTTTAGGTTTTGATTTTATATTCCGTATATATATAAATTGCACTTCACAAGTTCACAACCATCTGGAACAAAAATTCAATCTGAAGACAAAATAAAGATTACGAAATGGTTTTTACGGAAAAAAAAGAGGAAAAATAAAAAGTGATTAAAATTTGGTGGTAAAAATTTAGCTTAAAACTTCATAATTCAACAGAAATATGAAAACGAAATGAATTTGATCGGAAGAACAATAGGGATTGTGAATTGAATTCAGAAATGATTGCTCAAATCAGAGCTTCATATAGAGATTATATAGAGAGATATAACGCTGACGTTCAATTTGTATCACACCTTAACTTAAATTATCTATAGCCGTGTATGTGAAAATATGGGTATGATGCTTACGAAAATCCAAGAAGAACTCTTAATCTGCCCCTTAAATAAGAAATTACTTTTACAACTTCATTTCCAGTTCTCTTTTCCTACAACATTTTTTAGCATCGTCTAACAGAAATACCGGCAGCCCGGCCGCTGCGAGTGCCAAGCTCCCTTTGAACTCCTCCTTCTTGTTCTTCATAGCTTTATACTCTTTCAGAAAGCTAATGTGAAGATCTCTCCCGCTTTCACACAAAACCTGCAATTATCTCCATCTTCTACATTTTTTTTGAATTTGTGATTCAATTATAACTTTATTCCCAATAACGAGAATTCATTATGGTAGTCGGTAGATAATAGAGTGGCGAATATTTTCATTATACTGCTGCTGCCGTCGTTACACACGAATAAATTTTTAAAAATCATATTAAATCTTATAAACGTGGAAACAAATTAAGTACACATTTCGTTCAAATCGAATAAATATAGAGAGAGGTAAACAGAGATTGCATATGAGAATAGTGAAGAAATAAATTCAAGAAGGTCACCCCTCCATGCAAAATATTGCAATACAAAAAAATTTTTACCAGTTTTTTATTTTTTCATTTTAATTTTTTTTAATGTTCATTTTTTTGCTATGCCATAATCAAAATTTTTTTTTTTTTATATTTTTAAAGGGTAGTTGAATGCAACGGTAGCTAATACTGGTAATTATCTACTATAAATTGTGAATTGTTATTTGTGATCTTTCAAATTATTATGTGTTTATCCGCGTGCCACACTGATTTACTCACCTAGTTTACATGTCATTTTTTATTTTTCTCTTCTTGTTTGTTTATACAATTTAATGCGAAAATATATGAAATAATCCGGTTTTTTTTTTAGTTTACTTTTATGTTTGTTAGATACATTTTGAAGTATGTAATGAATGACGAGTGTATTATTCCATATTATAGCATGGTGCTTAGATCAAAGCTTCTGCGGTTAACAATGTTTTCATGAGCAATTTATTTATTTGCCAGTTGCATGAAAATCAGATGTTTGTTAAATTATTTAATATTTAGTTTTAATAATTTACTTTTTATTTATATAACAATTTGTGTGAGAAATGTAATAATGAAAAGGTGTAATTGTAGTGTTCAAAGAAAAATTTTTTAATTGTTTACACCACAAAATAAGGTTCGGTTTTAAAACACCAATAAAAAATGTAAAACAAATAATTTTATTATGCATATTAATTGATATAACAATGTTACTTAACACAATAATATGTTACTTGTATTATAATTCAATTTCGTTATATGAATAAAAAATTTGCAATACGGAATCGGACATGAGCCTTAAAGGTACTTGAAGGAAGTTTCACGTTCTCTGAATTCCATATGTGCATTAAATTTTAACTAGGAATTTAAAGGGGCTTCTCAATCAGTCGATTTTTTTAAAATAAAAGAACAAATCAGTTGATTTTATTTATTTTGAAGAATAAATACATCCTACAGATGGCAAGAATTAGAAGTGATCGTAAAATGTGATGATTTAATTTTTTTTTTGGATTTTTCTATTAAGATTCTGCGAAAGAGGTGTTCGAGATAGGAGCTCGGAGAAAGATGTTCGGGAAACCTTCTGTGAACTCGTTTACAGCAAGAATATTGGTAAAAGGTGAATCTTGAAGGTGAAGAAAACAAAACTAATTATACAGTAAAAGTAAAAGTGAATATTTTTAAAGATTTTGTATATTTCGGTATATAGAATATAATATTCACTCTAGCCTCATTATATAGAACATTTTGTGCAATTGTGCGGCATTATATCGAAAACATTTAATCCAGCCTTGCGAAATGTTGAGATTCGGGTTGATATATGATCTTTGTGTGCATTCTACATGGGTCTTACTCTGGTTCCGAATTTCTGAGGGGATACCATAATAAGACACAATGAACTAGGTATAGTGAAAGAATTTATTTATTTACTTATTGCTGTAATGGTATTAATATTTTTGCTCTATTGGTGATAATTTGCTAATAAATATTTTTCGTTTAATATTGTAATTCCATTAATCAATAGTTTTTATTACATGAGAATTAGTTGTGCAGCAACAATTACACTATATAAAATTTTCACGCAGAATAATCTGACATATTTCCTTATTTAGATGAATTCAAGAAAAATATTGGTTTATAAGGAAATTGAAAATAATTTTTAGATGATAAGCATTTTATTACATAAAGTTAAAATTGCAATAAATAAAATTTTTAATGCTGATAAACTGCATTAGATGCAAGTTTTTTTTTATTTATTTATTTTTTTTCTAAAATACACAAGTTTACGTGAAAAAGTAAAAGTAGTAAAAAGATATGATAAAATTTTTTACGTCAAAAAGAGGAAATTATTTATATAGGTTACGAGGTTGACCAATTTAATTAAATGAAATAATTTATCTAGTTTGCACAGAAACAAGGTAGGTATCTAATAATAAGGTTAAGGAAAAAAGTGTGCATGTTTGTGTTTAAAGAAAATTTAATAAAAATTTTATAAATTCCTTGTATAAGGAATAAAATAATCAAATAATTGATAATCAATTTGTTTCGTAATAATTGATTTTAATATTTTAGTTAGGTAATTTACACATTTCTGGTCTATTGCATCATTGTTGATTATTGGTGTTTATTTTTATTAATTATAAATATTAATTCTAAAATAAATTTATTAAAATTTGCAACTTTATTAACAGATCATTTGAGGAGATTAAAGACGCGCGCGAATTAAGCAAATTATTTAGCAAATTTTTTGAATAAATGTGAAATTATTACTTAGAGTTTGGTCTTAAAATTTCAATTTGATTTCATACTTGTATATGTATAGCGATTTCTTCATGATATAATTACGATAAAAACGGTTTCTTCGTGTTATACATATCATATTATGTAGTTCAAGGACACCGAAAATTAAGGGTTTTTATCAAAGACATTAAAAATGTTTTTAAAATCTTATTTAATTTAATATTTGCTACCTAGAACTAGTGACTAGTTCTTTAATACATTTCATTATTACAACTTTATAACATTAGTGCCATCTAAAATCTAAAATATAAAACTATTCTTTCAACTACGAAATAAAATTTGATTCACAATTGCTATTTTAATTTTATATTATAAATTCAAATAAATTAATAAAAATAACAAACATGAATATTAATATCACCATCACCTACATACATCATATATCCTAATTCATGTAATATATTTTTGTTATAATTAATGGGTATTAGAAATTCGAATAACTTTTACTACTTTTGCCAATTTTCAAAAATTTTAAATTTCTTATATTGTGAATATTTTATACAAAATAATATTAGAAATGAAATTGTGAATACCATGAAAAATTTCCTTATTAATGTAGAAATGTTTTGCTGAATAATAAATTTTACAAATACATTTTATTGTAAATAGAGAATTGCTTAATCTATAGCCTACTAGATGGCGCACTACACAATATATATATAATTCAAATTCAATTTTTTCATACGCAACGAAAGCATCAACATTCTGGCAATTAATAATTTATTTTGAAAGACAAGCAACTGAAAAAATTTTATTTATTTACTTGACATTTTATTTTTATTGTGTTGTATTTTATAAAAATTAAAATTTAATTTTTAATAATTTTTTTAAGAAATTCGACAAAAATAGCGAAATGTTACGGTTATGTCGTTTAGTTATGGATGAATTCAACGGTTTAAAAGAAGAAGTTATTATTGAAAGTCCTTTTGCTCAAATAACTCAGGATGGTGAGGGTATTAGACAAGTTCAATTAGGTACAAAACAAAATCTATTTTTCAAATACATAGTACATACTTGAATATTATTTTATTTTAAATTTTGTTTTTATTTTAGGTTTAACACGAAAATATCTTTTAGTTGGAAAAGATAATTTTGATAAGGCAGAAACAGAATCATTGTCAAATATTTATTTTAAAGCAGATATTGAACCGGAATTCGAATCAATGAGATTAATACAAATAATACCATTAAAAGCAATTCGTATAAAAGTTTATCGACGTGATAGTAGAGAACTTTTAAAAATTATTGCTGGAAATAATTCTAAAATCATATATTTTGAGTTTGGTGGACATTTATTAAGAAGGGTAAGTTTCATATATCACACTGAGTCTCAAATAGGTGTATATGTATTTCAAGTCTTAATATCCCCTTTCAATTACATATTGATTTATAATGAAAATCTAAGGATTTCAGTTACTGTATCGATACATCAACATTTTACTTATTTTATATTTTTTGTAAATCTTCTGAAATTTAATTTTAGATGTATTGGAATATTTGGAAAGATCGAATTGAAAAATTAAAAATTTCTTTTAATAAATATTCAAAATTTGAAAAATATTCAGATCCTTATACAGATATTGAAACACCATTAACAAGTAATAGTGAAAATGAGATGCCAAAAAAATTACAAGTATTGGTCGAAGTTCATTCAAAATTTAAAAAAATAGTACTTAATGAAAATGGGAAAGACCAACAAGATGTTGAGACTAATATGAATTATTATTATCATGAAACAAAATCATCAATTGAAGCAAAAATTCAAACAATTCATAAATATTTTGTTGATGCTTTAACAAATTCCAAAATTAAAATTTTAAATAAGAAAACTGGTTATAGTGTATTAAAATCTCATAGCGATAATGATTATATCATTGATTTAAGTCAACAAAAGAATTCTACCGATGATGAAGGGACATTAAATAGAAAATCAGTTTCAACGGGATTGATACGTTTGTGCTAGTAAATTAAAATGGTCTTAAGATATTACAAATAAAGCTGCTAAGGTTTAAATAACTTGAAAAAAACATGTAATTCTTACAATCTTAGCCTTGATAAATAGAATTAGGAAACTAAATTTTTTGCTTAGCAATGCAGAAGTTCGTAGATAATTTTTGTAGATCGTTTCTGATAACATTTCTCAGACCGACGTTTTCGTAGGACCGACGTTTAAAAACTGTCGCAAACAAAATTTTTTTAATGCTTTCTTTATAGGAAATTCTTGGCAAGTAAATAAAATTTGTGCATCATATTAGAGCCTTTACCCCTTTTATTTGACTGATTTCTCTAAGGCCTTCTAAAAACTGTGCGACTTCGAAATTGAGGCCAATATTGAAATTTTTATAGTTCGCCTTCCCAAACACTATGGGTCATCTAGAAGTTGTTGTATTTTTTGATTCTCATAAGCCAGTCGGATCAAACAATATTTTATATTCATGAAATTTGTACAAAGTTATAGTAAGATTTTAATGCAAATTGTATTAACTGTACAAATTTAGTTCTTATTTGCAATAATTTCTATAAATAACTACTATGTATAAAATAAGTAAATTATATAATAGTGACAATAAAACAATTGTTTTTTTGTGAAAATATTAAATATGAAATTTTTATTTTTTATTTACATAAAATTTATTGTTTACAAATAATATCAAAAATTAAACATACAATTTTTTTCTTTTTATTATTTATTTTAATTTTTCAAGAAAATTTTATATTATAATTTTTGTAATAATTTATTATTTTTTTTTTAAAGCACGAAAAAATAATATTAATTATATCTTTAATATTTTGAAGATAAATTTTATTTTTCTTTAAAAAGTTTTACAGATTATTCTTTTTATATATTTTAGTAAAAACAATAAGAATAACAGAAATTGTATTTGATTATTGAAAATAAAATAAAAATCGAAACAAATAATAAACAAAAAATAAAATTAAAATAAAGATTATAAAATTTGTGAATTTTTAAAACATAATTAATAATTATTAACTTAATAATTACCCAATTTATTCGTAATAAGGAGCACTTAATTTTAAATTGATTTTTTAATATTAATTATATAAGATACATAATAATTATTATAATTTCTTATTATTGTTAAAAACAAATATACATTTTAAAAATTAATAATTATGATAAATTTCTAATTCTAGTATAAGTTTACATGACTATAAGCTGAAAAACAAGAATAAACTCATTCTAAAGTGATTATTAAGTTACACAATCATTATGGAATCAAATTTAAAAAGATTAGAAAATTGTTTTAGAAAAGAGAAAGAATATTGCCTAGGCTAGTTATGGGTTAAAGGCTAAATTATAATTTCCTTTTCTCCAATATTAAAATTATTTATTAATTATTTAACTATTTCTGTTATTATATTTTTATTATAATACAAAAACAAAACAATTATGTGATAAATTATCATTTAACTTATATGCAAAAAAAAATTAAAAATTTTATATATAATTTTATATAAATATAATAATGTATATATATATATATATATATTAAAAATATACATATAAAACTTAATTGTAAAAATAAGAAAAAAAAAACTTTCTACAATTTCTGTTTTAATCAATTTCAATTTCCGAATGTTATACTTTTATCTCCATAATTACTTCTGTTACTGCCACCATTTATCATACTATTAATAGAATTTTTTAATATTCCATTTGATGGAGCTGATGTTGTTGATGTTATCGTACCAGTTGAACTGTTACTGTCAGTCTTTCTTAATTCAATTTTATTGTTAGTGTTATTTGGTAAGGAAATTGTAACACGTGTTGAATTGGCACCATTATTATTATTATTATTATTTGTTGAATTTTTATCTATTGTATTACCATTATTACCCATGCCATTTAATGTTGCTGTTGTTTCATAAATATTACCATTACCATTTATATTTTGTAACATATTTGTTATTTTTTCAACATTTGATGATAAAGGTTGTTTCATTGTTGATTGATGTTGTTGTTGTTGCTGTTGGTAAATTGAATTACTTTGATATGCAATATTTCTATTGTTATTATTAGCGCCATTTTGTATTTTTGTACAACCATTTTGATGATTATTACCATTATGATAATCACTATTATTATTATAATGATCACCATTATGTTGGAAGCTACCATTTTGATAAATACCATTATTATATTGTACAACAGTATTATTATTATTATTATTGGTACCATTAATATCATGACGTTTTTTTAAATTTGATCTTGATAATGTTAATTCTAATTCACTACGTAACATATGTGATACATTTTCATCTTTCCCATTAAATGATGTTGGTGACATTGATGACATTGGACTACTTAAATCATTTGGTGAATTACTACCAGATCTTGATGATATAAAATCAAATTTACTTGGTTCTTTACGACCACCAGATTTTGATGCACCATATTCACCAATTGTTACGGATACCGGACGATTAGATTTTTTCATTGTTGGTGGTCCGGAATTTGGTGGTACAAAATATGCTGATGGTGGTTTTGGTGTTGGTGATGATGGATTTAATAATTGATATGAATCAATTGATTCTAATTCAGCCATATCACCATTTGCTTTTGCTATTTCTGATGCAGCAACACGTCCCAGTGTACTCATATTACCATTACAACCATTTGTATGTTTGTTATATGTATGTTGATTCTTTTTTAATGTATGAGATGGTGATGATATTATTGAATCATAATCAGGTATTGGTGATTGTGGTAATGGTGGAGGTGGTGGTGGTGGTGGTACATTTGGTGGTATTTCTGTATTATTATTATTTGTATGATAATTTTGTGATATTGTTCGATGTAATTCATTGTGACCATTTTGATTACCATTTTGATTATGATTATTGGCAGCATTAAATGCATTTATACTGGCAAATATTTTTTTACCCATTGGTGGTTTATTAGCAAATTGTGGTGGCTAAAATTATATAAGAAGAAAATATTGAATTTTTGTTAATTAAAATTTTATTAATAATATATAAAAATTAATACTCGTAAAGCTATTTTGGTTTTTAAATATTTGTTGGTACTATCTTGTACTATTTATTTTTAAATAATACAATTTTAATGATTAGATTATGCGGCAAGCATTAAATTTATATTGTTATAATCACAATTATGTTAAAAATTATTTGGAGAAAGTGTTGCAATAAAACCTTGGCCCTATTGCACCGACTGCTTCTACTTTTACTATTGCAAAAACTAAATATTGATAGGAGCATTAATGATCTCAATTTAGAATAATTAAAAATGAAAAATAACCATTATTTTCGCAAAAAATCTCAAATTTTCATTATGAAATGTGTTGCGTGTTCCATTACTAATTGGAACCATTTTGAGAGTATTACATTTTGCTTTATTTGTTTTCTTTTTAACATTTTAAATAATTTTCAAGAAACAAACCGATCACCATTAATAATTTTACATAGTAATTAATTTGAACAATAAAAATCGATTATCTTATATATTGCATTTAATAAAATATTTACTAATTAGAATATTATAAATTAATTTTAAAATTTAAAAATATACAAAGTGAAAATTTAATTATACATTTGACAACAAAAGAAGTCATTCACATAAAAATCAATAATCTAAGTAACATGACAATAAAATTTTTGACATTAATGTAAAAAATGCTTCGCTTACGTAAATTTTTCATTTACGATAATAATCGATAATCGATTTTATAATTGAATATTAAATATTTATGAAATCGAATTTTAGTGGTTTTTAAAGTTTCACCTACCGACCGTCGTCGATTATTACTGTTGCGTTATTTCTCGTTACTGTTTACTTAGTGCATATTTTAAATTTATATTTTGTACTTGGATTTTAAATGCATAGATATTTTATTGAAAACGACATTATGGAATATTGAGTGCAAATTATAATTAAAATTGCGCTAATTAAAATCGATTAACCATTAATCTGACCATTTTTAATGCGTTATTTGTAAAATTTAACGCATATTTGAAAACGGAAAGCGAAAACTAATTCCTCAACATATAGTTTTTTCAATATTATGTAATATAGTTATAATAAATTATATATTGCGATGCTTATGCATATATGATTGTGTGATGTATTAAATTTAGTTAAAATATGTTAAACTTCTTCTCTTACAAAACTAATTTCGTATACATTAATGTTGCATTACATAGTGTGTATATATGGTTCATATTTAATACGACAGATAGCACATATGTCGATGGTTTGTTCAATATAGCTAATTGTAAGTATGAAGCGTCATACTCGGTTATATATTTACATGCTTGAATGAGGTATGCACCTTTTTGAGTTAAAAATGATTTTTATTTTTTTCTAGATTTTTAAAATTGATTTTCAATTAAAATTAATATGACGTTAATGGTGTTATTACGTCAGATATAATAAATATTATAAACGCCTTTTTAAGGAGACTTACAACAAGTATCAGAAACTGGATAGTATATATACATATAGGTTGTCTCAACATGTATGATATGAGTGTATGCAATATTGGATCAAGTTGTATGGAATTTTCTAGTTTAGATTTTTGTTTTTTCTGTCGCATTTGGATGAATAATGAAAGAGAAAATTAGGAATGGAACAGGTTTTAATGGCATTTTTATTTTTTATTTTGGAATTTTTAATTGAAATACGGTCAGTAGGATATAAAAATATTTATGATTTTTGTAGAGTTATGCATGTGGAAATTCATTTTTAATCAGATAGTGTACACATAATAATTTTGTTTTTTTTTTTTATTCAATAATTTTCGAAAATAAAAAGATTATTTGCGATCAGCTGAAAAATTCCGATTTTTTTTTTTTTTTTTCAAATTTTAGTAAATAAATTGTTAAAGAATTTGAAATAAAATATGCACACATACAGCCACTTAATACTCTTATAATTTTGAATTTTGAATAGTGGTTCAATTTTAATGTTTGCAAGGCAAAATTATTAGCAAACTATTTTTGGATTAGAGTGTTAACCAAAAATGGTATAAAATTATTCAACTTTTATTATTTAATATTGCGGAAATTTGATTTTAAATTTGGAAAAAATTACCCATTGCATTTTATTAATTTTTACAAGGAAGTATGAAAGTTACATAAACTGTTAAAATGTGTGACAAGATTTGCAATTTTCAAGTAATCTTGGAATATATCCATTGGCGACTATTTGGCAGTCATTAATGTGCACAATTTTTCGTCAATATCTTAGAAGTTTTTAATTGATTAATCGACTTGTCACTTGTTTTTGTGGATTAAGAAGTTCTACAAATAGTTTTGCACCATCACGAATGTAAAATAAAGAAAAAAAAACGGAGAAAATCTTTTATAAATCAAGGCTGACTAAAATTTAATATAAATCAAGAGTAAATGTTATTTTCTGATGTGTCCTATTCACATGTAAATTAATATTTTTTTCTTACCGGTGGCGGTGTTGGAAATTGTCCTCCATTTATTCCATTTGACATATTATGATTACCATTACCATATTCAGTCTTTGAACCACTACCATTTATACCATTATTATTATTTATTCCACCATTAACACCACCATTTTCAATTGTATTACCACCATTATGATGATAGTGTTGATGTTGATGATGACCATTTTGTTGACCATTTATATTACCATTAATCATAGCACAATTACTTTTATGATTTGCTACAATCTTTGGTGGTGGAGGTGGTGGCGGTGATCTATGATCAGTTTCATCACGCATTATTGTTGTTTTTTTCAATTCTTCTTGACGTTCCTATAGATCATCATGTGTACGGATATGAAACGAAAATTGAAAAGAAAAAAAAAATGTTTGATAAGTTTAATGAACTTTTTACTAAGAAAATATAAAAACAAAAAAAAAATTTTTTTTCTTGCTTTGTAAATTAAAAAAACTAGAAAATTAAAAGAAAAATAAACAAAAGAACTTTTTGCTTTTATTGTAGAACTTGAAACAATCAAGAGAAGAAAAAAAAAACTCATTTTTTGTTTTTATTGTACCTGTACACAATATTTAAAAAATCTCAATTCTAAGCAGAATTTTAAAAATTTGTTACAATTATCACAATCCAAAAGAAAAATAACAAGAAAAAAATTCGGTGATTATGCAAAAAAAACATGGAGCGATAAAGCAAATCACCGTGATTCAATTGTTAATTTCGAAATCAAATGAGAAAATCATTTTTAATTTGTTATTTAAATAGTATTTAAGTATACATAGACCCAAATCAGAAGCATTTTGCTTTACTGGGTTACACCACTAAACTGTTGTAGATGAGAGTATTCTACTAAGATGTTTACAACTAGGATTCACAACTCCGAACCATAGCACACAGAAGCTCATTATATATTCTGCTCTTTGTATTTTTAAAAAAATCGCATATTTGTCACATTATTACACATATTCTGTTAGTTGAATCACTTGAAAATATGGAATATTATTGAAAAGAATTCCGTTTTTTCAGAATTGCGGGCTATGGAATTGACTTTATGAAACTGTGACAATATAGAAAATCTTTACATATATATAAACTTATTTGTCAAACGTTACATTTTTATAAATGGCAATTTTCTGAGAAGAAATTTAAAAATAGCCTACACTTCTCTTTATTTTTAAACTCTTTTTTGCGTAAACGTCACATAATTTCTGCGTATCGACGTTTTTTGTTCAAAAATTAAAAATTTCCAAAAAATTGTGTATGTATGTATGTATATGTTTTCTAAAGACAAACTGGCCAGGTTGATTAACTACAAATAATGTCAAAAATTTGTTAAAAAATATCTTATGACATAACGTCAAATGTCTTATTAGAACGTTCAGTAATTATGGGCCGGAAAACTGTAAGAAATATTGTAAAATTTTATAAAAGTTAACAAAAATCTTAACAGTTTTAAAATATTTTACAATAATTACAGAAATTCTTTAAGTCATTCATTAACCGTTTCCACTCTTGTGAAAACAAAATGGTCCACCTTGTACACGTTTAGAATGTCATTTTTTTTAACCTTTATTTTTCACATTCTGCTAATTAGGGAGTTTTTTTTTTCCTTAATTTTTTGTTAAGATCGCAATTTTATTTGTTATGGTTTTTTGTTTTCTGGTTGTAAATGCTAGAATGACATTTTAAATTTTATACAAAAACTATTTTGTTTGAAAACATTTTTAAGGTTCTTTTTCTGCTTAAATTTTTTTTTTGTGTCAAAACGAAAATAAGTTCTGAAATTTAAAAAAAAAATGTTTGTTTTACTTTTTTTCAACTACTTATTTATGCACATTTTGCATACTATCGTGATCTAATCATAAAATTCAAATCGTGTTTAATAAAAAGAACGCAGCTTTTGTTTTTTTTTTTTGCTTGCTTTTACTGAATTCGTAATTATTTTGAAAATCTGTTCAGTTTTATTTCAATATAAAAATGTTGGCAACACCCTTGCATGAATTAATTATAGTAGCAATAAGAATGCTATGTGCATAAATGATAGTTTCATAAACATGTATGAAAGTGCCATTTGACAATTATTATCAACAAGAATTGTATTATACCTTAAAATAGGCTAATATTATGTCTTTATATTTTTGTATATACACTCTGATATTGTGACAAATTGGTGAAATAATATTTGAGCAGATGTTATAGAAGACCAATAAGAAAGTACTTAATGGTACATACTTATTAATTATGTATCTAACAAGTAAACAACATTGTTATAACTATGTATTTGTACTTGCATACATTTTGTTCGATTTCATACTATAAAAATGATAAAACAAATGAATTGAATGTGAAATATTTCCGCTTTTTAAAAAAATTGGTGAAATGTGATGGAAAACAAGAAAATAAGAGAACGAATCGTGACAAATTGATAAATATTTTTGTAGCTCTACAAGTATGTACATTTGTTTTCTCATTACTTTACAATAAAATTTGCTGTCCTATTCTCGTTACATTCAATAATGTTTTCTTTATATAAATTTAAAAGAAAGTATAAAAAAACACCTTACTATTAAATACCAATGCATAAAGTAGTTGAATGTATATAAATGTATGTATGTATGTCAGTAGTATAAATACCTATGTATATAAAAAGTACACGTCTTTATTGATCCAGCTGGGTTAATATAAGAAAACTTTTCATTTTTTTTTTTGCTGTTTGTTTTTAACTCTGCTATTTATTTTTGTGTTCAGTAAAATATGTAGCTTTTGCACACCTTCGACAACACAATAAATATGGTAACAAAACAACAACAGCAGCAGTACAAAATAAAAAATATTTTTAACAATTTTAATAATAATGGTAAAATGGTAAAAATTCTTATGGGCAAGAGTTGAAGAAAAAAATAACAAGCTGAAAACTTTTACGTCTGATCGTTATAAGAGTAAATATTTTGTCAGTTTTGTGTTTTTTTTTTAAATTCAGAAGCATCTACAACAACAAAAAAAATCCATGGCTGAAATTTTCACTTAAGAAAGTGAATCAAATCAAAAGTTTGAATGTGATTCGAATTCTAATTTCGAAGTGAAAAAATTTTTTTTTATTTTATTTTGAATTCGTGAACTTTCAATTCACTGTATATGTATAGATTTTTTTTATATATGTAGGCTATAAGAAAGTAATAAAATGTAGCGCATAGTGTACAAATCACCCGTCAATCTTAACAATATTAAAACGAGCACATCATTTTACTTTCAAATAATTTTGAATTTTTAAAACTTTCCTTATGACTTAATAATGTTGAAATGCTTTTTGTTCAGAATGATTTCTTTGATTCAAAATTTTGTGTTATAAAATTGTATTAAGGGTTGATATAATTAAAATTAAATAAATTCTTCCATGATAAATTTTGAAGAAACATATTTAGCATATTTTGACAGAAAAATCACTAAATTTAAAATTCATTTCTTTCATTATTTTAACCGAAAAAATTCCAAAAGCTAAAAAGAAAATTTCTGTTAAGTCAAAAAAGTTAGAAATTATTTCCAAATTTTAAAGATTCTTATAAATAATTATGTTCGTTAGGGCTGCAGTAGATATGTTATTTTTTTGTATTCAAGCGAGCACACAAACAATCAAACAGTTTTTAACATTTTACAAACTGATTGCAATTTAGTAATATTAAATAATTTAGTTGCTTAAGTGTGACCTCAATTAACTTGCAGTTAAACTGCAATTGCAAAACTAAAAATTGCATATCTGCCAGAGCCCAAACTTTATTGGTGGAAGAAGTTTAATTAATTATATAAATAATATACATATAAACACTCATTTGAAATCTATTATGAGCCGTCATATCTCATAATTGGCTTAAAAATATTAGTATTGATAATTTCTAAACTTAATAGAATAATATAAAACTTTAGGGAAGACAATTTTCTACAAATGATAAATAAAATTCAAACAATTCAATAAAAACGGTTTAAAATTGTTATCTTTAAATATAGTTTTTATGACAAAAAAAATGTCAACTTTGCGGATATTTAACGTGTCAAAAGTGATGTCAACCGCAAAATAATAATTGTAATTTAATTTCATTATTGTGGGGAGTTTGTTTTTTTTTTTTTTAAAACAATTAAAAATCATGAAAAATTCATTTGTTTTGTTTTTTATGTCATTTTGTCGTTAATTTCCAAATGATTATTGAAATCAGAAAATTATTAAAAAAAAAAAATCATGACATCTTAAAAGTCCAGACACCTTAAAAAACAGAGAAAAAAAACTCTTGCTTTTTGTAAATTTCAATAAAAAAAATGGTGCCTACATGAACTCACAAAATATTTTTCTCACAATTGTCCAATTGGAAGAGTGTTTTGTTCTAATACAATTTGTTTAAAAACAATTAAAATTCTTCAAAACTTTTTGTTTTTTTAAATACACTGAAGAAGTTCAAATAAAAAATTTCCATCATTAAAATGATCAAAATGTCACGCTAAAAATAAATTAATATTAAAACTTTTTAAAAAGTAATAAAAAAAAAATTTATTATTTATTTAAACTTGATGCCTGAATAAAATTGAAGTACACAATAAAAATGTTTACTGGTTTAAATTTAGAATGAGACCTAGAATTTGTATTATAAATTTAGGTACAAAAACCATTTGACATTTGATTAAGTTTGCTGAAAATTTCAAAGATTATAGATAGCTATTCATCCGATTAAAAGTTCCAATTATGTATTTTGACTGTAACAATATGATAGTTTGACATAACTTGACATTTTGAAAGCAACTTAAGTCAACTGAATTGTCATTTGAAACCTTTTCATGTCATTTATTTCATGTAATTTATTCCATTAATAATCTAAAATATAAGAGTACATATATAAATTCTTAAATTTATTTTATTAAATTTAAAACTTTAAATTATTAAAAAAAAGGTCAGAAATTCAATATTTCTTTTATAAGCCAAAATTTTAGTGTTATTCTATTTAAGAAATCGAATAATTTGTAAAATGTAATTTGTTCTAGTGCTCCTCAAATTCATGTCCCAAAAGTTTGAAAGTTTATTCTTCTATCACACCAATAGCTTTTTTCCATACACTTTTAATGACCAAATTAATGACATTTAAAGTGAATGAAAAAAAATTATCGAACCCATTCTTCTTGTTAATCAATTCAAAAATCAATTAAACTTCATAATAAATTTAATTACGAAAAAAATAATAATTATAATTATTATTTTGCCCTAAAAAAAATTCCACTTTAACGTTTAAATTAACAAAAAATGAAAAAAAAAATTAGGTAAATTAGAAGTGTTTCA